TGGCAGTAGTCCCCCCATCCCCCAACAGGCTTAGTTTAAAGCCTGGTAGAGCAGGTCAGCCAGTCTTATTACATGAAAAACAGCACATCAGTCCATCATATCTCATAAGGCCTAAACTGACTTGTAAATCTATGTAATACTGCATGCACTAGAACTTTGCTTACAGCTCTTTCTGTTCCACATCTAATGCTCACGTTGCCCTGTTGGAAACTACTTCATCTTTTTATTGACTTTTTTGCTGAATTATTTAGAATCTCATTGGAAGCAGTACAAGCAACGTTTGTTAGAAAGAAACCATCATGCTGCTCTGTTTGGCATTTTTTTCAATTTACAGTTTGCAGAACCTAATCGGGGAGTCTTGCCCTTTGTCTTGCTGCCAACATAGTACCTAATACTAATACTTCTCTTCATTATGTATGCTCAGTTACCAAAATTGAACAAGCACTCTTAGTATTTGAACAAAGAGCTATGTCCATTTCTGAAGGCACTTCATCTACCTTTGAAGCAGAAGTCAGGATACCTTACCATATTTGACACTCTTGCCCCTTTGGCCCAAGTGGCAAACCAATATTTGGGGCCTCAGTGGAAAGAACCCAAAAGGAAGATACATCTGCGATACATGTAACGTATTTATTGGGCGTAGCTGTACTTATGTACAAAGTGTATGTATGAAATTATGTCCACTGACCACAGCAGAAACACAATAGCCAATTTCCTGGTTCATAGTTTCCAAGTCTTATCTTAGCAGCAATTCCCGGGCACCAAGGAGCTCGATCTCTCTGATCTCTCTCAAGGCTATGTTCACTGTGTCTCTTGCTTTCCTGACTCAGACACAGCTACCACCAAACATTTTTTTAGCTACTGCATTTAACAGAGTCACAGGGAAACCCCAAAGCCCACACAATTTAGCTTTTTATAAACCTTGTTTTGAAGTCAGTTGCCTTAGGTGGTTACTTCTTCTATTGTCTCCAGCTACTACATTAAAGGTCATTTAGTTGCTCTTCCTGTTTAGTTGTTCTTCCTGGCTTCTTACAGACATTTAGTTTCTCCTGGGAGAGTCGCTGCCCTCCCAGGAGAAACCATGAGTGTACAGATGTTCAGGTTTTTTTCTCCCAGGGTAAAAATAGCCACTCCAGGAGAAAAATAACTTGGAAACAACCAGAGTTAAAACACTGCTTGGAGGGTTTTTCCTAGGACAGCAAATATCTGTACGTCATGGTTTTTCACAGAAGAGAACATGGTACTAAAGTTTCTTGCCTCCTCCTTCCCTTCCCCCAAACCCCCCACTCCAGAATATGCTCCCCTTCACAATCCACATGTTGTGCTGCAGGGAAAAACAAGCTGACCACGGGCAGTCTGGGTTATCTAATCAGGGCTGTCCTGTGCATTGCTGTGATCTGTTGTTCAGCAAACTAAAAAAGACTGCAGAGCATGCTGGGATGTGGGCACTGGGCACACCCCTCCCCCCCGAATGCAAGCTCTACTTTTCAGGGCCTCAGCATTCAATTGTCTGTACATGCAGCTCTGGGTAACTTTCTACAAAGAGAACAAACCTGGGAGAAGTCTCTCAGGTTATTTGAATGTGTGTACATAGCCTTAGTGTCAATGAAGAGCATTTAGCTTTTTACACACCAGCTTTGATCAGACAGACATTCATTCCTTCCAGCATTACAGAGTTGTATAAAATCCTTTTGTGCACGTACTGTGATTCATGTTTCGTTCATTTCCCCACTCCCCTTTATTTTGTAGCTGATGAAGACACCACTTGGTTCCTGTGGCATGGAAAACTGGCAGTCTGTTTACACACTGAAAGAAAAGACTAAGCTAATAGACATGGAGATGTTCAAAGATCAGTGTGTGATGTTTCTGAAATACTACAATCATCTTTATTTAAATGTGATTTCTCTTGCTTCTCACTCTGTTCAGTCTGTTGAGGTACATTTCTGGATCTGTGTTTTTATATGAATCACTTTTCCATTTGATTTTGAATACATACCTTTAAAGTGAAAATTAATATACATGTCATTAGATGAGATGCTTTGTAAGTGTGACAGCTTGTTCTTATGGTACCTTCAGGTGTCTGTTACTGTTTTCTCTGACTTCCATGAAGCCTGTTATCTATCATAAGTCCTAGTTCCTATTGCTCAGGTAAAACACTACCTTTACTCCCCAGCCAGTCTCATTGACTTCACTGGGTCTGTTGGTTATCACGCTGTTTAGTGTGAGTAAGGAAATCCTAATGTGACTATCTGAAAAGAGCAAGCTAGATATCTGGAGGCAGTTGTGCCTGATGAGGCATTCTGAAGACCAGAGTGCAACAAAAACATTCCACAGTGGTGAAATATTGAAAAGGAGAATCATGTTTCAGTTGCAATACGATTTATGAAAAGGCATATTTCTTCCCTTTTCCGTGTACCAAATGTTTGTTGTGGCTTAGAAATTAAAAAGAAACTTGTTCTCAAAAATGCATTATTTTCTGTAACAATTCAATTGCAAGCCTTAAAATTTCAGTTTCTTTAGGTTTATTCCAAAACAAAGACTTTTGAAGAATTTCTGCCCTATTTGCAATGAGTTACTAATGTGAAATTCAACAATATATTAATAGTGTTCCTGTAGTTAAGTATAGTATGCTTTCTGCACGGTTACTGAGATGGTTGCCTTTTCAAATGATCTTATTCAGTTACTCAATTGTTCAGAGAAGGGACTTCAATTTCTCTGTAAAACTTCGACTTTTAGTGCCACAATTTCTGAAGCTTCCATCAACCTGCTAACCAAAGCTCCTTAAAGTAAGCAAGCTGTGGTCTAGCAGAGGGCTTGACGCAGGAACCTGCTGCTTCCAAAGAATGAATCTTGATTCCTTTCATTTTTAGTAGAGTTAAAAATCTTACATAATAGCAGTGAGTTTCTGAGGGTAGATGTGCCAAGAAAAGGTTTTGTTCTTCACAATGGTGAGCATTGGGAACAAAGTTAGAGGTAGGGGTTTTAAGTGGCTGAGCACTACTGAGCTAACTCATGGCAATGGAGTAATAACTGACATTGACTTGGCTTTATTACAAGTTGAACAAGAAGTGGAGATCAAAGGGAAATGGGAAATGAAAAAATTATTAAAAATACAGTATCGTTCAAGGTCATATTGAAACAGAATGCATTAATTATAATTTTTTTTAATGTTGCTAATATTCTCATTATAACTGGCACCTTGAATATCACTGCATACATATTCTGTCCTTTATGACAAACTTTAGAATTAGGTTATATTTTCAATTTTAAGCAGTTGTTGAACCTTCATTCAGTGGCTTTAGAAGCAGGGTTTAGCTAAATTCTTCCACTCAGTGACACTGTGTTTCATTATATATTTTAATTTATAAGAAATTAAGCTTATGTTAAAGTCAAGCAGAAGGTAATTAAGCATGATGCTCAAATCTTTTAATCGAAGAGGCAGCACTGGACATAGTTCAAAAAGCAATATAAGGGTCTCACTTTAAATGTTGGGGTTGTTAATGATCTGCATTTTCACAGCTACCTGCCTGGGCCTGTGCATTTGAATTGGAACCCCATCCTGAGTACAACACCAGCACTTGCTATTTTCAGCTTGCCTCCCCTGTTCAGCCCCCTAAACGTTTTGCATATTCATTGGTGGAAAATCATCTCATTGAGCAAGTTGAGCAAGAGGTACCAATTACACTGAATTGTCACACTGTACATTTAACAGCTAAAAGCAAGGTAAGATTTTTTCAACTGTTTTGCCCATCCCCCACTACTTTTCTTTTTCCCCCCTTTAGAAAAACTGCATTTGCAAAGGAATAGGGATTACAAACCATAAGGAACAGTGGGTTCTACAGTTACTAAAACGGTGGGTGTTTTCTCAGATGATATATAAAAGCAGGGAAAAATGGCATTAGGATTTTTTTTTTAATTTTTTCTTAACATTGGGGTGATAAAAGAGAATGGAGGGATACATGAACACTAATATGAAAATTGAAATATTTTCTTCTTTATGTGACATTACCAGTTGGTACAGTTCACCATATCCTGCTTGATAAAGAAAGGGAAAATATCAGTTGTTTTAAAATATTGACATAGTGTGTGCCTGTCAGACAAGGAAAGTTTTAACAACCGTTTGTGGGGGGGAGGGGGGTTAGTAAAAAAAAAAAAGTGGGGACGTTAAGTTAATAAGAGTTTTCCGCTGCAGTAAGTGCTAAACTATTCAGTTCATAATACATATTGGTGCTGTTATGGGAGGAGTGAAGAGCTGGGTGCTTTGATACTTTAAAAACACCACAGGTGTTGCACTTAAATGAATGTTACACTCTGCATCAGTAAGCCAGCCCAGCAGAGGTTCAGTCTCTTGCTTTATTTTTCAAGAGGGCTTTGTACAATCTAAGTGAAAAAAATTACTGTAATCAAAAAAAAAAAAAAAACACTTCTTAAAATAAATAATTGAAGTTTTCATTGCCATGTGTCACTGTGAATTCTGAAACATCCTTTAATGTAAAATACTCCTTCATTTCCAGGATGAAACTTTGGTGCCAATTACAGTTTTTCATAATACAAATTCTAAAGAGCTACACAGGAAACCACTTCTAGTTCATGTATATGGAGCTTATGGCATAGATTTGAACATGA